TAATTCTATTCTACATATTTTGAGAAACAACAAGTTTATTACCATCTGTGTTTATTACCGTGTGTCTCGTATTATGTGCGTGAAATATTGCTTACGATTATTAACAAACAACGAGAGTGTAAGAAGACGAATCTCGCGGTAGGTGGTAAAAATGATACCTTTCTTTTCTTTTCTTTGTACAGCAAGGGAAACGATAATAATCATTCGTTTAAACGACTATTCTAAACAGACGCTCGTTGTTCCCTTGCTGTACAATTCTCTGTCCTTCCTCTTTTTATCGACGTATCCAGACACCGTTCTCCCCTCAGCTGCCACCATTATACCTCCCCCCTTCCCCCCCAAGCCTTACGAAACTCCGGCGTACTGCTGCACTATCTTGGACCACTCCTTTGGATAGGTTCGTTGAATGTGCGAGAGGACCTTCTTGATCTGTCGTGTTTCCTCGGGGCTACATTGCGGGCAGGAGCCCCTCAAAACCAGTGGTGCTAAACCTGGATAACAACGGCTGGGTTAAATCGAATCCACCTGGTAACTTTATAGAAATTTATCGACGTGAGGAACACACGCTCGTAAAATCAAGATCAATCGATCTTAGAGTCGTTTTTTCCCCTTTTCTTTTGAATTTTTCGAGAAATTCGGAATTCCGTCAAATCGAATCGAATGGAAACACTGAATGTCTCTCGATTACGCAAGATCTTTTTGATCGAGAAACATGCACGTACTCTTTAAACGTCTTCCGACAGGGTCGCAGGGAGCTTCGCCCAACGCGCACTTCAGCTGCCTCCTCAAGTAACGTTGGTCGCTCAGAGCCGTGTTCAGTTGTTCGTCGGAGACCCGCGATCTTCCAGCTTGCGCCTCTTCCGTTTCCGCCGTCGCAACAACGTGGACGAGCAGAGCGCAAATGACCAACAGCAGCTGAAAACATAGCCGTCGCAGACATAATTAAGCGCCGTACACACCGGAGCAATTAAGGAAATTCACAAACAAGGAAAACAACCCTTTGAAATCGTG